GATAAAGTGAAATGAAAAAGATAGCGTTTATTTCCTTTTGCTGTAGCACACTCTGGACAGTTATTGGGAAGATTAAAAGTCTTCTGAAGGAAAGCAGATTGTACTAAAGCACTGGTGAAGGATGGTGGAGAGTCAGGGAGAGGGTCCCTGTGGTCCTTGGCCCAAAAGTTATGGGTGAAGAGTGAAGGGAAGGGGTCTGGGTGGATCCCCCTCCCCCTGGAGCTCACACCTTTCTTGGGGTGCCAAAGGTGCCCTGTCTGTGTCCCCCAAAGGGGTCTCAGGGAATTTTTAAAGCTGGGATGGAAATCTTAGGGATATTCTCCTTAAAAAAATCTGCTTTTCCCCTGGAATTTCTAGGAAGAATATCCTTCTGCCTGGCATGGCTTTCCAGCACAGTCATGGAATCACTGGGGTTGGAAAAGCCCTCCCAGCCCATGGATCCCCCCTGTGCCCCATCCCCACCTTGTCCCCCAGCTCAGAGCACTCAGTGCCACATCCAGCCCTTCCTTGGACATTTCCAGGGATGGGGACTCCAAACCTCCCTGGGCAGCCCCTTCCAAGGCCTGACCACCCTTTCCAGGCAGAAATTCCTCCTGATGTCCAAATCAGAGGATCCCTTTGGATGCCTTGACTTCCCCCCCCCTCCCCAGGAAATGCAGGAAAATGCCAAGAAGGGTTAAAAAGACAGCAGAGTGGAGATGAATTTGGAAATGTGTGTTGCAGAGATGACTGAGCCAAGTAGTTTAGGTCAATGATTTTGTTATTTTGCTCGGTTTGTGCGGCGTCGTTTCATGGGATTTATGAATTATTGCTGCTGGAGGAGCTGCAGGGGGGGAGCTGGGAGGGCCTGCTCTGGCAGGGCTTGCTTGCTTTCCTTTCTCCTTTATTAGGAATGAAAATTAGTTGGGAATGAAGAGATATAATGCACAGCCTTCATATCATAAAAGTTGCACTCCTCGATAAGATTTCAAGGTTAGAACAACGATAGCGTGGAAATCTCTCTCTCCTCAACTCCCCTGGATAATTCAGGCAATAAAAAACGCTTCTTTTAGCTCTGTAAACAGGGTAATAGACTGGAGAGCAGGAGCTGGATGGATTAAACAGTGGGGTTATTTTATATTCCGACAATACAAACAGAGAAAATGGAGCTGAGGATTAATTTGAATGGGAAGCGGGGTCGGGGCTGGGTTTGAGTTTGGTCTCAAATACCTGTAGCAGGTGAAGCAGCTGCAGGAAGAAAAGCACCTCTGCTCTTTTTCTCTCCCTTTTCCTCTTCCTCCTGACAATCCAGGAGGCTCTGGGGGCTTGGGAGAGGCTGATGGGACCGGGCTGAGCTCGTCGTGGCGGTGGGAGCGTGGCCAGGGAAGCGTCGAGTCACATCTAATGACTCCAGAGCTGCTAATTAATTCCGAGTGAACTGGAACAGGGCTTGACGAGCACTGGGGGTTTTTGGAAGCTCCTGGTTTGGAAGGCTTGATCAGAGGAGTCATCACTGGCAAGGGGAGGAAGGAGGAAGGTTGGGAGCAGAAAGAAATGAGGGTAAAAATGAAAGTCGGTGAACGGGACGAAGCTCCCGGTGCAGAGCAGCGGCTCTGGGAGCTCTGTGGCAGCTCAGGGGGTTGGATGGTGGGAACTTCTCGAGGCTGTGGTTTCCTTTTCCAGTTTGTTGGGTTCATTTTCAACCCACTGAAAACCTGTGAGTCACCTGTTGGATGGGGCTCCTCCAGGGAAAGGCAGAAAAGCTGCGTGGGGAGATCTCAGGTGGTGCTGCCAGGGCAGAATCCCAGAGTCACAGGAGGGTTTGGGTGGGAAGGGCCCTCAAAGCTCCTCTATTCCAACCCCAGTGGGCAGGGACACCTTCCAGCAGAACAGAGGGTGAGAGGGGAGTGGTTGGAGCACCTGCAGGTTCCAAAGGATGGGATAAAGGGGCTCAAAGTGAAAGGCAGGAGAAAAACAACAAAAGCAGAGAGTTTGGAGCTCAGGAGGGAGCTCAGCTGGGCAGGGGTTGGGCTGGTGCCCTCCAGGTTTCTTTCTGACAAATAAGTGGGTTTGAAGGATTGATTGAAAACTGCAGAAAGTGGGAGAGTTCCAGGTTTTGCTGGGTTTGTTCCTGACTGTTTTCCATGTCCTGACACTTGATGTTTCTTGCTGAAAAGGTGGCCTTTCTGCATCAGAACCTCCTGCCTCCCATTCCCTCGTGTGACAGTCGTTCTCACCTCACCTCCTCCCCAGAGGTTCTGCTCTGGCTCTGGTCGTGTCTGTGCTGCCAATTAACACCAGGATTGTGGTTCCTCTCTGTGTCACCTTGGGCAGGGGGGTCCCCAGGGACAAATAACTCCTGGGAGAGTGACATTTGAGGGATGTTGAGGAGCCCTCCAGGTGCAACTGCAATAGAATAATCCTATTTCCTCTCCTCTGTCATAAAATAAGATAACGCTTTGGCAGCTGCTCAAATCAAGACAAATAAAATAAACTGCTCTAAATTCATCATGGGCAGAAACAGACTTAGCTACAAAATGACTAACAGGACCTCCTATTCATCTGTACAAATCTGCTCTGTGGCTGCATTCATTTCCATACAATCACTGGAAAATATTATGTTGATTGCTGGGAACAAAGCTTTTTATGGGGAGGGGGGGAAAAAATCCATGCCACTAATCTACAGTGGAATTGGTAAATGGGTAAGACAAAGCTTTAATAATATTATTCTGTGCGACATCTGATGTAAATAATACAGTTCTATTAATCTCTGAGGCAATCAGAGAGTCTGGCTGTTAGAGGCAGCCAAGGATGAGCAATAATATTATCTCTGCTCAGGGATGTTGGAGTAGAATCACAAATCCAGGGCTGGCAAAGCAGGGGCTGCACCAGCTCAGGGAGTCACTCAGAGCTGAGCCAAGGGAACATTGGATGTCCTGGGGACTGGGCAGGAGGTTCCAGAGGCACATTGGGTGTCCTGGAGACTGGGCAGGGGGTTCCAAGGGCACATTGGATGTCCTGGAGACTGGGCAGGAGGTTCCAGAGGCACATTGGGTGTCCTGGGGACTGGGCAGGGGGTTCCAAGGGCACATTGGATGTCCTGGGGACATCCCAGGGGGTTCCAGAGGCACATTGGATGTCCTGGAGACTGGGCAGGGGGTTCCAAAGGCACATTGGGTGTCCTGGGGTTCCAAGGGCATCTCCAGGCCCTGCACCCTCCGAGCCCTCCTGGCACTGCTGGGGGATTGATTTCTCAGGAAGGGACAATGGAGCTGCTGAAGGTTCTGCAGCAGAAGTGTTGTTTGGAGCCACTGAGGGGGCTCAGCCTGGAGAAAAGGAGGCTCAGGGAGAACCTTCTCCCTCTTGAACTCCCTGGCAGGAGGGATCAGCCTCTTTTCCCAGGTGATAAGTGGCAGGAGATGGGCTCACGTTGTTCCAGGGGAGGCTTAAATTGGATATTAGGGAAGAATTCTTCACTGGAAGAGTTGTGAAGGGCAGGGGGGGAGTCACCAACACGTGGATGTGGCAGCTGAGGACGTGTGGTGAACGTGGTGGGGGTGCTGGGTTGGACTTGGGGGTCTTGGAGGTTTTGTCTTTACTGAATCTCTGATTCTCTGGAGCACCAACTCTGCGTCCTTTGGCTCCTCTCCCTCCCTCAGCAGGGGAAGGGATATTTCAGCAGGAGATGTTTGAGGGCTGAGCAAATTCCTCCTGCACACAACTGTCCCCAGCCCCTTGGGAAGCAGTTCTGCCCCTCCAGGAGGCAGAGGTTTGGAGAGCTCCCTGTCTCCTGCAGGTGTGCACTGGTGTGAGAAAAGAGCAATCCCTGCTCCTGCTTTCCTGCAGGAACCCGGGGAGCACTGGAGGAGTTAATGCTGCCTCCCCCAAAAAAGCTCCCATGTGCTCCCTCCTGTAGCCAGAGATTAGTGAAAGCAGCCAAATGAAGCAGAATTTTAATATGAGATCCTGGTTTTCAAGTCTGATTTTTAAGATACCGAGCAGGTCAGGGTTGTCTGATTCTTCACAGTTCATTAAGTGGAGAGCGGCTCGTGGTGGAGATTGACTTTTAAAAATGATAGATTTTTATTTATAGCATAAAGTTCTAGTCATTAATTTTAAAGGATGGAAACATAAAAGCAGGAATGAGTTCATTTAAAAAAAAAAAAGTGACATTGGTAATTTAATTAAATTGGGGGTTTGAGTATCATTACAGAAAATGAAACATTAGTTCTGTGCTGGTTTTCCAGCCATCTGATGTGTTCCAGAGCATCCCAAAAACCTGCATGGTTGGGAATATATAAATTAGGTATATATATTAGGGGTGTATATATATATTAGGTAGAAATATATATAATATATATATATAATGTATTATATATACATAAATTAGGTATATATATTAGGTAGAAATATATATAATGTATATATAATATATAATATATATAAAAATTAGGTATATATATTAGGTGTGTATATATATTAGGTAGAAATATATATAACATATATAATATATAATATATATATAAAAATTAGGTATATATATTAGGTGTGTATATATATATTAGGTAGAAATATATATAATATATATAAATGTATAATATATATGTAAATTAAGTATATATATTAGGTGTGTATATATATACATTAGGTAGAAATATAATATATATAAATATATATTATATATATAAAAATTAGGTATATATATTAGAGGTGTGTGTATATATATTAGGTAGAAATATATATTATATAAAAATATATAATATATATAAATAAAAGATATAAATATATATAATATTATATTATAACATATATATGATATTAGGTAGAAATAATATTTAATGTTGACTCTGAGTGGTCTAATGAATTCTGGGGCAATCCAACAGGTAAGTTTAGTGCATATTTAGCTCGGTTGTTTTATTGGAAGTGATGCATTTCCCTGGAGACCCCCCTCCCCTGTGGGCAATGCCCCTGGCAGAGGTGGCACTGCCCTGTCCCTAACCAGGAGCCCCTTTCTTTGGCAGCTCTGCCCAGCCACACGTGTGGGAATCCGGGAAGGCTCCAGAACGGGATCCAACAAGGGACAACGTTCAGCATCGGGGACAGAGTGAGGTACAGCTGCAATCCAGGCTTTTTCTTGGAAGGCCATGCCCTGCTGACGTGCCAGGCCAGCTCAGAGAACTCTGCCTCCTGGGACTTCCCTCTCCCCGTCTGCAGAGGTACCAGGATCCCCTCCATCCATTGGGAAAACGGGATTTCAGGAGCTCTCTGGGGGTGGGAAAACTCCCCAGAGTGTGAGGGGGGTTTAAAAGGCTTGAAAACTGAACGTGGTGTGGGTAATGCTGAGGTTCCTTTTTGCTGGATTTTGGTGGGGTGAGGGATTGGAAGGTTATGAAGGAAATGCTGCCCAGCTGCTTCAACTGAAATTTCTTTGGATAAAGTGGGGGGAAAAAAAACCCAAACAACTTTACAAAGGTGTGAAGTGACAGAACAAGGAGAAATGGCTTTAAAATGGAAGTGAGTAATTTTGGATTAGTTATTAGGGTGAAATCCTTCCCTGGGAGGGTGGGGAGGCCCTGGCACAGGTTGCCCAGAGAAGCTGTGGCTGCCCCAGGATCCCTGGAAGTGTCCAAGGGCAGCTTGGAGCAACCTGGGAGAGTGGAAGGTGTCCCTGCACTGGATGGGTTTTAAGGTCCCTTCCAGTCCAAACCCTTCTGGGATTCTGTGACTGTCCATAAGACCCAACACCCACCCAGGACCAGGTTGGTTTTCCAGGTCAAACCCTGGATTTCCTGCCTGGATTTCCTGCTCTCTGCTGGATTTTTCTCGTGGCCCATTCCCTGGTGGTTGTGGGGCTTTGCTGTGGGTCGGGGGCAGTGGGGCTGAGAGGTAAAACCCGACCTTCCCTTGGAAAATCCTCCCTTTTCCCTGCAAGTTTGGGGCAGGGAAACTTAAATCCCTCTCTCAGTGCAGGGAGTGTGTTGCTAATTCGAGTCCCACGAGGGACTGGAGAGTCTGTAAATACACAAGTGCCTGTGTTGTTCTACCAAAAACATTTGCTGCTGCTTTTGAAGTCCTTTTCCCCTCGATTCCTTGTGTACTTCAGCAGAGCATCTTCTATTGATTCTCTTTATTGACTCTGCCTGTGCAATCAATCAGCACTTCTAAGCTGCAGCAGTAAATCTGGAATTTAAAGTGAGCAAATATGGTTTGCTTGGGATGTTTTCAATGCTTGCCTGGGTTGGTTACACAGAGCTAAGAGGGGTATTAATGCTGCTCTAGTGGGTTTTTTTGGTGCACTCACCTGCTGGTTTGGGGCCAAGGGCATTCAGAGCATTGGAGGGGGGGTTCAAACAGCCAAAGTGTTGCTGGAGGGGAAGGGAGGGAGGTTCAGCTCTTCCATCAGTGCTCTGGGAATGGTTCTGCTGGCAAGGGCTGGTTCCTGGAGCAGCCACTTCTTTTCTAACACACTTGGTCCTGATCCTGCCAGGCTTTGCCTCGGAGCTTTTACACGAAGTACTTTTTTGGGAGGCAGGAACCAGAAATATTCCCATTTTTGTAGCAGTTATATCTCCTTCCAGGGAAGTAGAAAAGCAGCAGAGACAGCCTGCAAATTGACTTGCTGGATTTGAAACCCTGCTGCCCTCCTTCCACCCTCGGGAGGCTCCCAGGAGCCAGACAGTTGTGCTTGGCTGATAAACTGGTGATACAGGCTCTGGTTGTTGCAAGGGGCAAAAGGATTTGCATTCTGACAAACAGGTTTACACCTTCTTCTGCTGGGAACAGAATGTTTGCAAAGCTGCTGCCTGAAGGAGAGTAAATATATATATATATTTATATATTTCCTTGAGAGCAAAAAGATGCTAGTGGCCTGTATGGTTTATAATAATTTCTGTTAATATTGGTTTGTGGGTCATTGTCACCTGAGAGTTTGTTGAATTTTTGAAGGTGTTATTTTTTTAATCTGAGCTCAGATTTAAAAAAGTGCTCTCTGGGTGAGCAGGGGGTAAAACCTGGGAGCTGCTGCCTTGGGAGTAATTTGTCTGATGCCACTGTAAAGGACATTGTTGGGTTGAGGACTCTTCCCTCCAGGATGACTCCAGAGGTGGGACACAGGGGCAGGGTTGGACCCCATGGTGCTCTTTGCTCTGTGTTTGTCCCCTGCTTTAGAACATTCTTGTCTCTACATTGGGATCTTTGCCTCTGTTCTGGTCTTGATGCTTTGTAAGAATTGAAGATGCACAAAAATTCGTGGTGGAAAAGAACCACCACTAGTGAGAGTTTGTGAGAGGATGTGCTGGGCCAGGAGGGTGCTGAGGAGTGCTGGGGCTCAGGGAGGAATTCTCTGCACTCCCTTGGCCCAGCTCAGCCTGGAATTGCTGGTGTTCTTCTAAAGGACAAGTGTGATCCCAAAGAGGACAAAATCAGAGGGAATTCCAGGTGGGTTGGAGAGGGGCTGGTGCTGCAGCTGGGTTTGGGAAGCACAGTTGGATCCAAACTGATCCCTGAGGGAACAGCCCTGACCTGGGCCAGCAAACCCCAAATAACAGCAAAATGCTGCTTGGGAAGCACCAAGAGATGATCCCAAAACACCTGAACGTGCTGTAAAGCTCCTCCATCCGTGCAGGGAGAGAAGCCTTGCCCAGATTGTTTGCTGAGTTTGAGTAGAACTGATGGGTTTATGGTTCTGGGAGTAAAAACTCAGGCAGGCAGGGGAAGAGTTGGGAACATTTGTGAAGCTCCATTTTAAGCATATCAAATATGCATAATCTCATTAAAAGTGGTCTGTTCTTACTATAACTCAAGCAGCTGCTTAGGCTGTGCTGTGCCCAAAATAATTGAAGGGCTGTTCCAGAAGATTTTAGAAGATTTGTAGGATATGTTTGAGCAATAACAACCTCTACAAACTGAGGGAGTGTGTGTGTGTTTAGAGGTGGATGGGAAGGGAATGTGTTTTCCCTTAAATACCTTTTGCAGTGAAGTTTTTTTCAAGGGATTTGAATTAAAAACTCCCCTTTTAATAATAATAATAGTAGTTATAAAAAAGCCAACCCCCCACCATGCCTTAGGCTGGATCTTCAGCTGCTGCAAGTTTGCACAGTCCAATAAAACAAATTTAGTCTCCTTGTTTAAGAACTCGAATCCAGCATTGAGTCAAAATTCTTTAGCATCTTCCCCATCCCCTCCTGTGCTCCTTCTAGTACAAGGAGATGGTTTGAAATCAGCCCTTTATTCTTTTTGCATGGAGCTTTGGAAGTCCCACTGTGAATCTTGTGCACGAGGCATCGAGTTTTGAAGGATTTTTTTGGGGGGCTTGGAGTAGATGAGAGACTTTCCAGCCTGAATTTATTGATGATTTGAACTGCACCCCAGTGTCTGTGAATAACTTCAGTTCACTGGCAGTACAGCAAATAGAAACTCTGAGAGGTGGAATGGAAGAGGGAGGGCTGGGGGTGCTCAGCCTGGAGAAGAGAAGGCTTTGGAGAGATCTCAGAGCCCCTTCCAGTGCTTAAAGGGGCTCCAGGAGAGCTGGAGAGGGACTGGGGATAAGGGTTGGAGTGACAGGACACAGGGAATGGCTTCCCACTGCCAGAGGGCAGGGAGAGATGGGATATTGGGAAGGAATTGTTGGCTGGGAGGGTGGGGAGGCCCTGGCCCAGGTTGCCCAGAGAAGCTGTGGCTGCCCCTGGATCCCTGGAATTGTCCAAGGCCAGGTTGGAGCAACCTCTCCAGTTCCTCTGCTCTCCTCCCCAGTTCCTCCTGCTCTCCAGTTCCTCCTGCTCTCCTTTCCAATGCCTCCTGC